TAATTACACACTGTGTAGACCTTTTTCGAGGCGTGGCTATTCGAGGTGTGCGGTTTGCGGTGTGCGGTTTGCGGTCTACGGTCTGCGTTCATGTCTGCGTGCTTTCATGTAATTTTCAGGTAATTTCAGATGGTTTCAGGTGGTTTCATTGGTGGTTTCAGATGGTTTCAGATGGTTTCAGATGGTTTCAGATGGTTTCAGGTGGTTTCAGGTGGTTTCAGGTGGTTTCAGGTGGTTTCAGATGGTTTCAGGTGGTTTCAGGTGGTTTCAGGTGGTTTCAGGTGATTCCAACTTTCAGTAACTACCCGTATACGACTTGCTACAGCAAAGTCGGGATAAATCCTACGCATACCATTTTCGAGTGAGACATTAGTCACTTTTTGATCGGTTATTTGTGTTCTTCCTTCGTTTCACCGAAAGCTCAGTGAAACACATTTAGCTTCCTTATGTAGGTAAAACAGTGCACAGCGCCACAAAGTCCCAGAAATTCCGGTTCGGATGTAAATGGTAAACGTTTCTTTGGTTCGTCCCACTGGAAAATTCTCGGAACAAACGGAAATTTTGAAAATGTAGTCCTGTTTTTCCGGTTGGAACGTTCCGAATGGGAATTCTTTTACCATTTAGAAGTTTCGTACTAGATTCGTGCAGGCCCCTCGGCCTTTGGCCGACCGCAATCGCTTCAACAACAACAACAACAAATATGGCGGGTTCACAGCAAATGGGGATGTGTAACAGTGTTCACGTTGCTTTTATTCATCTCCAATTCTGGAAATATTCCTAACACATAGCTGTTCCTTATATTTAAAAGGTGAGAAGACTTAAAATTGCTAATTTGAGTCCAAATTCCAATGGCTGTCAAGTTTTACGTCATATCTTATTCTCTTGCGAAAATGATTGCAAATTTTCTGCAAGGTGTTTTCTTTCATTTTGTACACAGCTGACGCATCAACTGGGCTGTCAGAAATGGCAAATCCTGGCCGACCAGTTTCTCCTGTTTAGCGTGGCGCTATAATCCGGAAATTTTGGGCAAATGGTAAACGATCCGTACCGTTTTTACCGAACGAAAAACCGAAATTCAAGATGACATTTGATGCGTTAACAGATTCAAGAAGCCTTGACTTTATATCAGTGACAGGAAGGATAAGTTTCTTGTTTATCGTATTGTTTTTCTTAACGATGTTAAACAGTTTCTTCAACAGTCTATCCTTTGTACAACTATCACTAGCTAGCTTGTTGATTATGTGCATGGTTCTGTTTGTAAGCTTACAATGTTTTATAACTTTGTCCACAAAGACTTTGGTAAACTCTGCAAATTGACCGCGATGTATTAGTAAAAGCTGTCCAACTACCTGTTTTTGTTCATCCTAATAAAGAGTCAAATTTATTAAAGGAGTGCAGGTCTCGTTATGCTAAATTTCTTACTTATCGGTATGTTGATCACAAGCCTCGTGCTGTTCCGCGTGATTGGGAACCAAGTAGAGTCAACATTTTCCACGACGTACTCACGAATCTTTATCCGTGTTTTTCTGCTTTTGTGCGAAAGATGTGTTAGTTGTTGAGTTTGACTAATGGTCGTGGGTTGTGGGTCGTGGGTGGTCGTGGGTATGGGTGTGGGTGTGGGTAAAAGTCGTGGGTGTGGTTAATACTTAATAATAAAAATAACCATTTAAAATATTAAATATAATAATACATAAATTTTATACAACCCTGTCATTCATTAATTTAACTGTTCTTTCTTCTAGTTATTTTATTTTGTTTATTCAATTTACCCTACTTTACGTCTATTTTTATCTGTTATCTCACTGTCAATGAAATTAGTTTCAGTTTCGCGACGGGAAGAGAGATAACGTTTGATAACAAAGGGAAGAGAGATAAATCTTGTAATTACACACTGTGTACACGTTTTTCGAGCTGCGCGGTCTGCGGTCTGCGTTCTGCGTTTTTGAGGTCTGTGTTAACGAGACACCTGAGTTGCTTTGTACGATTGTACCAAAAATGATTTCATATAGTAGAAGTACTATAACGTTAAAATTGCGACAGCGCTCGTGAATTCTATATTTGCGGCTAAAGTCAGGGGCCAAGGAACAGAAATTCCGAGATCTCGTCTGACAACATCAATGACAAAAGAATGATAGATAAATCTGGTAATTACACACTGTATACACAAAGGAAAACTGATGGTGCACAAGTCGACTGACTCACAAGGCACGCATAAAGTCTGCCAGACTGGTAACTCGACAGTGGAGGATCGTAAACGCGATACTAGCTGTGGTCACACTACAGTGTTTTGTCCTAGGGAAACTTGACTTGTTGACAGTTTCCCCAGGGAAACTCAAATTTGCAAGTGTGACCGATTTTTCCCTAAGTAAATTACCTCGGGAAAGTTTTATCGTCTGGGGCTTGAAAACCGCAAGAGAACAAAAGAATGTCCTGTGGATTTTCCTTGACAACTACCCTAGAAAGCAGATGGGATGAATCAAATCCCAGAGTAGCCGACCAATGGACGCTTGTCGGCGATCGCGCTGGTGACAGATCCGGAATTATCGTATTGTGAAACTAATTTAATGCAATTACAAGAGTTATCTCTCTTCCCGTCGCGAAACTGAAACTAATTTCATTGACAGTGAGATAACAGATAAAAATAGACGTAAAGTAGGGTAAATTTAATAAACAACATAACTAAAATAAAGAACAGTTAAATTAATGAATGACAGGGTTGTATAAGATTTATGTATTATTATATTTTATATTTTAAATGGTTATTTTTATTATTAAGTATTAACCACACCCACGACTTTTACCCACACCCACACCCACACCCACGACCCACGACCATTAGTCAAACTCTTAGTTGTTTGACTGCCTTTGTCATCTAGAATGCATTGCTTTGTCAATAATTGTAATTTCGATCACGAAAGGAGTAAAGTATCCCAAAAGTTATCATTGTTAGGAGAAACCCACTATTGCTTTACCCAGACGGAGGAAACTACGGTCTAGATATTTACATTTGTATTTCATAAAAGGGAAAAGAATACCAAGCTTATTTACTATCCTCCACTCTTGACAGATCCAGGTTCACAAAAATGCTGCCTGCAGTTTATCCCATGTTTACAAGACTTATTCACATCAAGACTCAATCACAGAATTATTCACATCAAGAGGCTACACAGAGCCTATATTCTGGCCGGATTAGGGGTTCAGAGGGAACTGATTGAACGCCTTGCTGTTTTAAGCAAAATCGCTGTTGAGTGGTTATCATTCTTTGTTAACATGAAGAGTTATGGAGATTAAGACTTTGGTAAGTTGATGCCATGACAAATTGGAAATACTAAAATCGTTGGATGAAATGCGGGAACGAACGTAAGTACGCGGCAAAGTCAACAGAAAAAGAATAAGTCACTTTGTAACTTAGCTCGAATCGCGGAGAAATCGAGAATGATGGTAACCATCCAGTACTAAACAAAATCCTGCGTTTATCAAATTACCGGTTGCAAAATTCATCAAATTTTGACGCTGCGATTCAAATCTTCCTCTGCCTACACGAGCCAAATTCCCCTCTTTTCCATTGCTATATCTCGTTTCGCCTCTCAGTCGCTCAATAAATATTTGCATTTGAACGCGATGATCTTTGTTTACAAGGTTTTCTCCCGCTTACATCTAATGAAAAACTTCTGAAGTTTTCAGCCTCGGAACGGTATATCACAGAAGGCAAGTTTTTTAATCAATCAGCCAATAAACTTCAACTGTTCCTACGGTTCTTGTTTTTCATCAGTACATTATTCATCAGTACATCAGTTTTTTCGTCCGATTAGAGTGATCTACTGATCGATCTAATCGTTAACGCTTACCTAAGATAATCGAATTAATCAATCGAATTTAATCAATCAGTCAATAAACTTCAACGATTCCCATGGTTGTTGTTTTTCATCAGTACGTTAACAATTCAAGCGATTCACAGTATTAGGTTGGTGCATATTAAATAAATATTTTCAAGTTTACTCGAAAGATAAGTATAAACTGTAACAAGCCTGGTTATCGTTTATGTGCGGCTCAGCACTTCAAGCCTGACTGACACTCGGTGCGGAAACTCAACCTCGTTCCCACGCTATTTCCACCACATTACTTTACACCAATAAAAAAAACTGCCACACAGCGCCTATTGTCCATTTTCTTGAACAGGAAAACCAACCGAATATCTGACTCGGGCCCTTTATGACCAGAATAATAAGTTTACCCTTGTAAGAAATGTTTTGACTGCTTGACATGTTGTGTTACAGTTTTAATAATCGTTACTTTGCTTTCATGTTGCTGAGTGATTGAAGGATCGAATTTCGAATCATGTGATAAGTAGATGGGCTTTTAGAAGCACGTAGGGAGTAGCTGTTAAGATTATTAAAAACGTTTAATTCTACAACGTGAGTCTTCAGTGTCACAGGGAATTGGGGCAGGCAATTAGATTCCCCACATCTTTAGCAGAGATGCAGAAAAAAAAAACCTGGTTCCTTGCACAGTATCTGGTTCCAACAAAACAATTTCTGCACCGGCATATTCTCAAGGTAATACTGTAATACTTGGGCCAAATGCTCCTTCTGTGCCACACATAAGTTGTGCGAGTAAACGCCTGTACAGTGTAGGCGTCCAGTTATATTTGTAACATGTCAGTTATCTCGTTTTCGCAAACCTGAGGTAGCAATGGGGTTGCTGAGTTTCCCATTTACGGCCTTTTTTGTTAAGTAACACATAAATTTTACAAACCCGCGTTCGATTACGTTATTGCTTCGGCTTTTTCATATTGTTCGAATCGTGGTGAACGAATTGACTTCGGATTTTGAACTTTAGATCCACGAACACTCACTTCCAGAGAAAGGCTCACACGATTCACTTCATTACACCACTTTCTCATTTATTCATCATTCACGAAAAAATGATGAATTCAACACCGTGCGGGATATTTCACTTTCTCTTGGAATGTTTTGCATAATGTTTTATTTTCAAGTTCCTAAAGACTCAAATAGCTAAAAATATCAAAGGGAAAATATTTTTTGAGCACCCTCTATATCCTTTGTATTACTTAAAGTTCTTCGACATCTTTTGGTAAATTGGAATTGTTCCTTTTTAAGAAATGATGAAAACAATTCCACGCTGTCAGATCCCTAGAAATATCGACTAATTTTGAGAAAATGAACGCTTTAAGTGGATCCTTTACCGCAAAAGACACTGGCAGCTTTTATTTTAACTTGAATTCTTTCTCTTGTAGTATTGCAGGCATGCTAACTAAATTAATTCGGTATTGGCATGAATAAAACCCTACCCCACTGTTCAAATACGTAGTAACTATTGTTTGTGGTCTAAAGCGCAACGAAAGTAATTTCCGATGTTGTGATTTCTTGTTCAATGGACTTTTGTCAAAGCTAAGTTTAGCTCAACTTTACTATATTTAGCTTATCCTCGAGGTAAATAGAAGATATCAAAGGTCATAGAAAACAAAGAACATACCACGCATAAGTAAGGACTATTAACGTAAATGTAAGCATCAGGTACGGCTTGATAAGTTTTTAAGTTATGATGTTCGTGTTTCGTTGACTTTTCGAGCGGTATCACAGTATTGACTATTCCTATTTTAATTTTGCGATAGACTACGAGCAGTCCCTCCTTTTCGGCGAAGTTCGTTACGCGAGTTAAAGAAAATCAGTGAAACGAAATGTCGTGCGTCGTACCTCACTCAGAGTTCCACACATCGATATTTTTTTCTCTGTATTATTTCTTTCTCGCCAAAAAGCAGGAACTGCTCGTCTCTAATTTTGCAGTGTCGCGGTAATCATAACCAACAAAATGCCCTTCTCTTTGCGACGTGGGGCGCTAAAGAAGGAAGCAAGCGAGAAAAAAGGCCTTCTCTCCTCTAGCGGACACCTTTCCAATTTGCACCCACTGCAGCGAAAAAGGAAAGCATTAACCCACTGATGGTTATAATACGAGCCCTTGGCACAAACGTCGACGACGGTATCACTTCTGTAGTGACCAGTTTGACAGACGCTAAGGCAACAGACGTCGTTTCTCGGTACTTAGTATGAGTTACGGATCGAGTTTTTTCCTTTTGGATTTATTGCGCACGCTCTCGAATTGAGTGGGCCGTACAGTGAAATACGACTAGTTAGATTGACCAATCATACGTACTAACTGAGCGACAGTATAAAGATACGTCACTGGAAAAAATTTACGGAGAGGAGATAACCAAGGGTGCAACCGTAGCCAAATATGCAAGAGCAAAGAGATATTTTGACATTTTTCTCGCGCGAGTCTTCACTTGCCTGCACGCGCGCAACCACTGTTTATGCTTCTTCCCTGAAAGCCAGCTAACGAAAACCTCAAACTGAGACAAAACAGTTCCTCTGGTTGACACTTGGGCTCCCGTCATTGGCCATCGCGAGAGCTCAAACACTAGTCGCGCATTAGAAATTGTATGCCCAGCTTTTAGGAAGGCTTAGTAGCTGACAATGTTCGGGTTTCGAAGAAAACACTGAAGATGTTGAGAGAAACGTGTGTTGGCTAGTCTATTCTTGATGTTTTTATTATATCTTGAAAAGTATGGAAAATAAAAATGGTATCAAGTTATTTTCAGAATTCATCTGGAGCAAATGCGTTCTGGCCTATTATGCTTTCATGAACGTATGTTTGTCTCTCAATATTTATTCAGCACGATGATTGTACTGAAACGTTTTCATTCGTGAAATCTCCAAAAATTTTTGGACATAATGAGCCATTACGATAGATCTAGAGTGGAAGCTTTAGCGAAATAATTCCCTCGTGAATTTCACTTTCACAACTTCAATACATGTACTTGAATTTTGGCAGTAGCTAGTAGTAGAAAACAGACACCAGACACAGGTTTTCATTTGGATTATTTGTTAACAGATTGGTGAAATATCATGTAAAGAAGTTCCTGCCCGGTTTCTTGAAAATAACTCCGAGAAAAAGTGGCAAAATTTAATAAAACGACAATTAAGTCAGTCTGTAAAAGCAATAGCATTTACAATTCTCAAGGCGTTTACGCCAACAAGTCAAACTCATTTGGTTTTCTCGCAATTAGTTATCGAAGGGCAACAGAAAGAAGCCTCGAAGTTGTTGGCGACAGGCTCCAAGTGTTTCATGAAAATGGGTAAAAATTATCATCAATTAGTTACCTTGGCTCTATTCCTTGTTCACAGAATCTGGCTCCCAGCTTCTTCAATGCCGAGTTTTATCAAAGGTAAATTCAACTTGGTTCAAGATGGAATGGCTTGTCCAAATTGCGACGGTAAGGAGTTTCTGTGAAAAAAACAGAAACATGCATGAAGTTTTGATAGTCGTGATTAAATTCGTAAATGAAACATAGAAAAAAGAAACAACAATTATGGAATTTTGTGCGCGGAAGATTCGTGAAGTAGTTCTTTTTTATAACCATATGTTTGAGAATGGAATATTTGCTTAGAATTTTCCCGACTTTCTGGGATTACAAGCAATCGACTCAAGCAACCCGCGCTTAACGGTTCGTTTGCGGGCCCGAAGCCACTATTATTAAAATTTTGTGATACCGATCGATGCTCACGATACACTCTCATCGCTCATCTAGGTAAACCAAGTTCACGTATCGAGCAAATGGCCAAGATCAGAATAACAGCGAACAGTAAGCGAAACAGATGATTTATCGCTGAAACTACAGGACCCTACAGCATACCTACCCTAAACATTGCAAAACCGGCAAAGGCTACGAAAATTCATTAGTACCAGCGTAATATTTCAAATTAAGTGACAAACAGACAGCATTCTATACTCCTTTTGTAGTAGCCACGACCAGCAATTTCACGAAATCTACAGTTGAAGCCATAACTCATTCAATCATATCGGGATGGAAATGATGTAGGATCCCAGGATCTGTTAGTTCATGTAGTTTTTGGCGCATGTCTTATTAAATCTTCGTTTTAAAATTAAGCCGGAATACTTTTCCAAGGGAGTGGTCTGTTTTCGTTGGCTAGAAAAGCGTCACTTGAATCTTTAATATTGTCGTTTCATTTCGGATGTCGTAGGAAATGATTAATGTCTTAGTATGAAAGTGTCAAATACACCAGATGAAAAGAAAACAGCGAGTTTTCAAGCTTACCTTCACTTAGATTTAGCAGTAGTGGAGTTCCGTTTATTTAAACATGGTTGAGGCTTAAATTTAAAAGGCAGGTGACCATGAAGAACTACGAATACATTCGGCATTTTTCTTTTGAAACATATGCTTGAGCATCTGTATCTGTCTTAAACCCTTTTGTTATAGTTTTCAGTTTCCTGTTTAGTTCAGTTGAAAAGCTGCTCCGAACATAACACTTTTACAGAAAACATAAAAATAGTTTCTCTGAGCTGTCGAAAAAAACTCAGGTCTCAAACCACTGGAACTTTGAGTATGTCAGTTTTAGCGTTCACCGTTGTGAGTGCCAAGGGAGTGATAAATACGAGACGATAGAAAAGGCAAACGACGCTTAGAAGTGATCAGGCGCACAGCTGAAAGTATCTTTGTGATTGAAATTAAAGATAAAACAGGATGATGCGCTTAAATATTTTGACTGTTGGTGACTCAAATACCATATAAATTTGTCTAACAAATGAAACCGATTCGTGAACGGCGATTCAAATTTGTCGTCTTCAGTAGACATTCACTCCTCATTTCAAGTATAGTTTTCAAACTAGTAAAATACGAACATCCACGTGCTATCAAAACAAAGCAAAAAAATGAACGCCGATGAAAAGTATAAACCCTTAAATCGATCGGCATATGATGAATCTCCAAACACATGTGGCTGATTTTGTGATAAAGAACTAATGAACAAAGATGAAATCGTTTTCAGAAGAAATTAGTTATACCTGATTTTAAGATATCCAGCTCGGCATGTCGCCGGACCCTTTTTTTACAATTGCTTGGAGAATCAATTGAGATGACTTAAAGCAGTCCATCAGGTTGGTCTATTTCGCTTTCGTATGAAGTCCATCTGACCACATACATTTCGAAAATATACTCAGTAAGGAAAAACTACCAAAATATCTTCTTGGTGTCTGAAGCAAAGTACGCAGACGTTATTTGTCATTGGATCAGTGTCCTCCATTTTAATCTGTTTTCGGAATAGGTGAACATTAGACTACAGACTTCGTTTGAAGTTCAAACTTCAAGGTGATCTTTTTGAAAACTTTCTGGATTTTCAGGCTCGTAGAAGTAACCGATCTACGAGTGATTGTTTCATTTTCTGTACTTTTGCTGATTTATATTTGGACAAGAAATCATGTTATCTCTTGTTTTTGGAGGTTTCCTTCTCCACCTCGCACCCGAGGAACGAGTCTGCCTTCTGCCAGGCCTCCTGCAATACTGGTCAGCCTCGTTTCCATGGGCCACGTGTTTCGTGTTAAAAGCACCACCAGTTGTTTTGTAATAAAGATTAATCATTAATATTGAACTGTTGTACTGTTTCAACAAAAAACTGTCGCTTAATGGATTTGGCGAATGATAAATGGAGGTTTGTATGGTTAATCTTCCACACAGCTGTCCGCTTATAAGTAGGTACAAAATTAGAAAGTTATCTCTTATCAGCTCAATGACCATACCTTACTTTAAGTAAAAGATAATAAAATCCAGGCGAGCTTTTGGAAATATTTAAACAATGCTCAGAACTAAACAAGCGATAAATTGCTGGTGCATGCGCCGAGTTTCCACCGAAACGAGTTTACAGACATACATTCAACGTACCAAAAAGAAGAGAAAACCAGGATTAAAAAAAACCGCTTAAATCAAGTGAAATCAGTAAAATAACGACACCAGGAGCCAGCAACACACGTATGGAATAAGGTAAGCCATTTTTATTTAATATTTTCACTTTTAACTATCTCTATGGCTATCT